ACATATACTATATAATAATAGCACAAGCACAACAACAATTAACGCAATTTACATTCCTAACACATAAAATTCATTAACTATAGAAACATAAAAAAAAAATCTTCATTTTATCGGATCCGATGAGAAATCAACTTCTCTACTTAGAACACGAGAAGATTATTCTGAGCCCGTTTTGGTGGAATCAAACCACTCAACTGTAGTATCTATGGTTGGAATACCGGCCCCCCGTATCCTTTCTCATCTTTTCTAAGTATTTCATTAATTCCCCAATATATTTTATTTAATTACAAAATGGCATAGTCAAATTATTTAAAATTTCCTTTGAGTACATAAAGAATAACAATAATCCACAATCACCCATAATTATTTAAAACATCACAAATATCAATCAAGTGACAAATGAACACATATTTCACATAAACTTGGCTTTTATCGAAAAGCACATTAAAGCATACTTACCCAAAAATAACACACAAACCATTCAAAACCTATCTTATTGCTAATTGATTCTAGGATTTAAGGAAAAACATGCTAGTTTAGGAGGTTTCGGGTATTCAGCACAACACCCCTGAACTTCTGAAAATTACAGTTCTGCCCCCAAAGTTTAAGACTCACACATGCAATATGATCTAAAGTTCAAAAATTCATACTTCCACGAAAATCAACCCTTAACTTAACTGAAATTCAGATTAATGCAGAAAACTCCGTTAGAAATGATTTGATGCAGAATTTTCGGAAATTACATAATTCACCCTAACTTCTCTAGATTTATACATGCAAGACCTCTAAAATGCACAAATTCCATTTCTAGTGAAACCTCTTTAAAACTGAATATTACCCTTCACTAAATGCTGGAAAACAGACTTGGAACTCCAATTGAAACTAATTTCTCGAAAATTACAGATTTGCCCCAAAACTATTTCAATTTACACATGCAACAACACTAACATTTCAAAATCCGATTTTTTTTATGAAAGACCCCTAAAAATCCGAAATCTTTACTCAAGATATACAGAAAACAAAATCAAGATTTTAATTTATGCAACAACTTTGAAAATTCCATTTTCCACCACAAAACTTTTAGATTCATACATGCAAGACCACTAGGAGTTCAAAAATTACTTTTTCTTGAAAAGTTTCCTCAATTTGAAATTTCCTTTTGATAAATGCTAAAAATCAGTTTTGAAAACCCATATGAGTCTGACTTTTCACAAATTACAGATCTGGCCCGAAAATATGCAGATTTACACATGCAGCCCCAAAACTTTTTCCCAATTTAATTTCTTCACAATTTTTCGAAATAACTAACTTTTCTTTGAAAGTAATCAGCTCAAATCTACCATTTACAACCTCTGATCATACATGCAATAGCATAAATCATATGAACTAGCAAAAAGGAACAAATAAATGCAAGAATTACTACAAAAACAAGAATTAGGGGTGTCTTTTAATTAATTTCGAAATTTTATCTTTAGTACTTGATACCTCCATTTGCAGCAAGGATTTCGATTCCTTACCTTAAAAAAAACAGAAAGGAAAAAGGCTAGATGAAAAGGGGAAGGTTCTTGGGAGCCTTCAAAGAAAAACCGAAAGTTAGAGGGGGAAAACGAAGAAGAAAGAAGAGGTGGAAGAACTTGGAATGGCGGATTCTTACCTTCTTCAAGCTTGCAAATTCAGCCAAGCTACCTTAATGTGGAAAGACACCGTATAGATTTCTAGGTGAGAAGTGTTTTCATTTGTGAAGGGGCACCATGTATTTATAGTGTTCTTGGAGAATTCAAGGGCAAGGGTGAGATAGGGAATTCTCATTCTTGGTTTGGGAAATATCTTGCTGAATCGGGGGGTGGTTCGAGCTTGGAGGAGCTGCTATTAATGGTGGTTTCGGAGGAAAGAACAAGGGAGAAGAAGAGGGGCTTGGTGCAGTCGAAATGAGGGGGGGGGGGGAGAGAGAGACTCTTGACCTTCTTATGGAGCATGCTAGAGATGGAGTGTAGGAATGGTTTAGTAGGGGTTAGGCTAGGCTTTAGGATAATCATTTACTTAATTTCAAATTATTTAATAATCCACCCCTAATTACACACACACACATACACGGCACACACATACATATATATATATATATATATTATATATTATGATAATTCCTAATATGCATGCATAATTACCGAAACACATAGGCACATAAGGTCACGTAATAAATTTGATATCTAATAATTCGGATATCAATAATTCACGTATAGCCCTAATTTTTGGTAAAATCTAGCATTTACGTGACTAGAGGTTTTACGGTTTAGAAATTATCGTGTTTTGAACACGTGGGGTGTTACAAATATAGCAATATTACTGTGGTAAACTGTAGTATAGTTAATATTATTGTGTTTAACAGTAATATAGCTAATATATTGTCAACCACAACAATATTTTTGTTTAAATGGGGGGCAAAAAGATGTTAAATAAAAAATAAAAATAAATCGAAAAAATCAACACCGGAGACTGGCGGCGGAAAAATCAGGAAGAAATTTTTTTCGAATTAAAATCAACGCCGGAAATCGGTCGAAAAATCAGGAAGAAAAAAAAAGTCAACGCCGGAGACCGGCGGTCAACGCCGGCGACAGACGAAATTGTCCATAAAATTGTGTTTTGGTTCAAAATTGAATAATTTGTGAAATTTGGGGTCAATTGAGGTTAGATTAAATTAAATGATGAAATTGGAACATATTAAAATGTGAGGGACTATTTTAGTCTTTTACTAACCTCTGGACCATATGTGGACTTTTTTGTAAAAGAGTTTTTTTCTCTATACCCCTTTATGAATAAGTACTCATTGATGAGCGCATTTGTAAAGTGCCCTATTTATATTTACTGTTTACATTTCATTTGTTTAAAATTGAAATATCAATAATAATTTATTAAAAAATAATGAAAATATTTGTAACCTAAAATTAGAAATACTAGTAATTGTACTCGTGCGATGCACGGGACAACAAATTGCATGTTTTGATGTTATAAGTATATACACAAACATTTGATGTATTCGTATGATGAAATTTTTTATTACAATCATTCATTAATAATTCATCAGTGGAACATAGTAAACTAAGTCTACTTACTACACACAAAAAAAAAAAAAAAAAAAAAAAAAAAAAGCAAATTTTATTGACAACGTATCATCGGAAAAGGCTATCTCTGCATCTTGCATCGTAACTAAGCCCTTCTCCTAACCTTCCATATATTTGTGTCAAGATCAACTTCATGCTTGCTTAGAACTGAAACGATTGACACATAGTAAAATAAGACGTGGAAAATGTGACTACACTAAGAAGATAAGAGTTTCACGGAAGCACATAAAACCAATGATTGCAGGAACAAAAATGCCATGATTGCAAGTCCAACGATAGAAACTATTATGAAACACAAAAAAGTTTTGAAGTCAGTACTGCATCCCTTACACCAATTGACTATCATCACAATGTATTGCATTGAGTGTTCATACAACTGCATACATGATATACATAGTAATACACTTAGATACTTAATAACCACAATCAAGATATAACATTATAGTTCTTACCAAACTTATGATCAATATCACAGCACAAAAAATTTGAAATACTAAAGCACATACATTATGTTCGCCTCAGATAAAGCCAAGATAGCAAGTTTTATATCTAATTGCAAGGAAACTGAAGATTAACAACAATAAAGTTAAAAACTATTATACCTTGCTTGATAATAGCAGTGGATTTCCAGGATAGGTTCGTCAACAACTGATTTCCTATTTGCCACTGTAAATAGAAAGCAATACATTATTCATATGTTTTTTATATTAATTATTGAAGAAACTCCTGCCAGTTTACGAAACTTCCGGAAATTGCATCATAGCCACAACGGGGTCAAACTGTAATTATTGAAAAACTCTTCCCTGCTGTTAGAACTTTCGTAAATTGCAGCAACACCCACAATCTTTATCTATCTTCACATCCGACCGCCTGCAGCTTAAAATTCTTAAGTTTACGAAGCTTCTCACCCTGTTTCATTTATTATTTGTGAATCCACCGATTGAAGCATTATGAAAAGGAAAGCCTGTGCTGAATTGGGTATTAAGTCTTTGGATATCGACCTTCCGGAGGACCAAAGTCCACGAATTGATAAAAAAGATGAAAGGGTGCAATACAAACACATGAGAAAAATACAGATGCAAATAAAATGTACAGAGGGAGTGAAAAAAAGGTGAAAGGGAGAATCCTTGCCCTATCTTCTGGTTTCACTTTGCAAAATAGCTTAATATGAATGGGTTGACAAGTTGAGAGGTCGAATATAAATATGAAGAGAAAACATAAACGTGTTGAAGTGGGAGAGAGAAGTTGAAAGTGTTGGAGGTTTTTGGGAATCCGAAAAACCGGAACAAAAAAGATTGAGATGGAAAATAAATAAAAAATTACAAAAAATATGCTGGAGATAAAATAATACAAAAAATATGCTGGAAATAAAATAAAAAAAATAAAAAAAAACAAAAAAAGAAATTTATATATTTAGAAGATTTAATTAGTTGTGCATTAGAGATTTTACGGCTGAAAATTAGGAGCGAAAGTTACAAAAAACGAAAAAGAGATTTTAATAATTAGAAGATTTAATTAATTACAAATATGCCATTAGGATTTTTCTAAGGTTGCCCAGCGTTTCTTTCTTTTAATATTTAGAAGATTTAATTAGTTGTGCATTAGAGATTTTAGGGCTGAAAATTAGGAGCGAAAGTTACAAAAAAAGAAAAAGAGATTTTAATAATTAGAAGATTTAATTAATTACAAATATGTCATTAGGGTTTTTCTAGGATTATCCAGCGTTTCTTTCTTTTATATATAAGATATAAGATGAAAATAGTTTTCCAAGTTACATCAAATCAATTTTATTGAATAAAAAATTATATCAATATAAAAAAAATACAAAAGAAATAAAAACTTCTAATGTCACAAGATATGTTTTATTCTTTTTTTAATAATTATCTTTTCTATTTTTTAATAATTATATTTTAAGCATTATGTAGCTTTCATCTAAAAGATCTTGTAGTTAAGGATTTGATGTATTTTTAAAATGTATCCATCGAAATTATGCTATCGGGGCAATGTGCAGCAAAAATAAAATGAGGGGTAAAGTGCGAAAATAAACAATTTACAGGGGATGTGCAATTTACACAACACTTATATTCGCAGCTGAATTTATCTTCAACAAAATCTGTGAGGATGAGGGGTTCTGAAATTGCTCTTGTTTGTAGAGCAATTACTTCTAATTGTTCTCATGAATACTCATACGCTACTTTTACTTCTTCTTTCTCTTTCTTCTCTTCAAATTTCCACACAAGTAGGCTATTTTCAACTGTGCCCGTAACAGATTTGAATCGTATAAATAAATTAGATGATACTGTTTTCTTGATTCGTAAAATGATGAGGATGCGGCCACATCCTTCTGTCTTTGAATTCAACAAACTTTTGCAAGTTATTGCCAAGATGAAGCAATATCCGGTCGCCCTTAAACTGTTCGACGAAATGCGTCAACGGGCTGCCCCTGTAGATCAGTATACAATGAACATCTTGATTAATTGTTGTTGCCTTTTGAAACGTGTAGACGTTGGTTTTGCTATCTTCGGCTATTTCTTTAAACACGGTTACGAGGCAAATGTTACGACATTCACCACCCTCTTAAAAGGTCTCTTTTTAGATGGTAATGTGGCCGAGGCAGAGAAATTGTTCAAGAAGGTTTTGACTTTGAATCTTTGTGAGCCAAACGATGTTACGACTCTTACTGCGATTGACGGGCTCTGCAAAGCTGGACGTGTTCATACTGCCCGTGATTTGCTTTTATTATTGGAAAGGACTATCTATAAACCCAATGTTAAGGCGTATAGTGCGGTAATTGATTGTTTATGCAAGTGCCGAATGGTGGATAATGCACTCGAGCTCAAGTCTAGAATGATTGAAAAGGGCATTTCACCTGACCTTGTCACATATAACTCGATGATTCAGGGCTTGTGCGATTTTGGTAGATGGAAAGAGGTGAAGGATTTATTAAATGAAATGGTGAATCACAAGATTTCGGTAGATGTTGTTACTTTTAGTATATTGGTGGACGCATTTTGCAAGGAAGGAAGCATTAAAGAGGCTGAAGATATTTTGGAAGTTATGAAGCAACAAAACATTTGTCCCGATATTGTCACCTACACTGCACTGATAGATGGATATTGTTTGCAAGGGAAAATGGATAGAGCGAAAGAAGTGTTTGATTCCATAACAGGCAACGGCCTTAAGCCATGCATTGTCACCTATAACTCTTTAATCAACGGATACTGCAAGAAGGGTAAAGTGGATGAAGCTTGGCGTCTTTTTCTCGAAGTTTCTTCGAAAGGCTTAGAACACACGACAGTTACTTATACCACCATGATACATGGATTATTTAGTGAAGGCAGATTTGCAGATGGATGGAAACTATTCAACGATATGGAAGCTCGGCACGTACGTCCAAATTTACATACTTGCAATATTTTGTTGGATAGTTTGTGCAAAACTCATCAGATTGCCGAAGCATTTTCGTTTCTACGGGTGATGGAAAATAAAAGTTTAAATCCTAATATATTCACATACGGTATCCTGATTAATGGTTTGTGCAAAGATGGGAAACTTGACGAAGCAAAAATGATTTTAAACGAACTTCCTTCCAAAGGATTGAAACCTAATATTAAAATATACACCGTTATTCTCGGTTCACTTTGCCGAAAAGGGTGTGTAGACGAGGCAAAAGATTTGATTGTGAAAATGGAGAGAAGTGGTTGTGCACCGGATAGTGTGATGTACAACAGCATAATCCAGGGTTTGCTAAAGAAGAAAGAGGTTTACAAGGCAATCCCGTTCTTAGAGGACATGCACAAAAGGGGATTCTATGCCGACGCGTCTACTTCATCCTTGTTAATTAATCACATGCAAGGATCTAACAAAGACGATATTCTACTGGAGATGATGAAGAAAGTTGTACCGAAAATCTAAATTAATTATTTGGGCTTCTGAAATTTTTGCAGATACAACATCTGTATATGTACTTTTGACTTGTGATTTTTACGGTTGTCGCAATCCTTATATTATGGGTGGATGAGTGGCGTAGGAAAGATAACAAACCGCCGGCATTTTGACAAGAAAGAAGATAAAAATTTGGATGTGTGCTAACAGATTCCTTTTTTCTCGATTTTGTATTGGGTATGACAAGAATTTAAATGCAGATAAGTCCAAGCAAAAAATAGCCCTATGCCTTTTGTTCAAAATACCCCTCATAATATAATTTTCATCAATTTCATCTATTGTACTCTAACTTTATCAATATTTCACATTGAACCGGATTCGAACAAATACATCACATTACCCCATTTTCACAATCTTTTGAAAAGATATGTTTTCTTTAGAAAATATTTTTTTTTTCGGCCGGCCGGCGGCGTTGATTTTTTTTTTTTTTTGGGAAATTCTGGTTTTTGAATTAGTGCGTTAACAACAAAATTACTGTCTGAGACAGTAATATTGAATGTAAAACAGTAATATGAATATTACCACATAATTATTACTAATATTATTGTCCCAATCAGTAATATTTTAGGTATGAAAAACAATTTTTTCGATTTCTTTTGTACCTCCATTTCTTCCGTATCGAATAAAAACATGCGATCATTCAAATTTTTTGATTAAAGGGCAAATAAATGGTGAAATACATAAGAATAATTTTGATTAAAACTCTTGAACTGAGAAAGGAATGAGAGCGGGAGAGGTTTAAACAGAGAAAGAAAATATCCTTTCGTAACAAGTAAAAAAAATTGCAATTAAACACTGGGACCAATGGAACTTGGCAACTCATCAAAAATTAAACGACCACCTGAATTCAAAATTAAAACGTGTAACGATTTGAACTTTGAGAACAGGAGATCGCATATACTATCATTGAAACATAATGAACGAAGACAACTTGCTTGTTCTTTTAAGATAGCATGTGATTGACCATCAATCGATTCCCAACCTATGTACCGAACTTGATCGCTTGAATTTAAAATAGAGGAGGCAAGATCATGCACAAGATCGTGCATGTTATAATATATTATATTGTCGTCACCGTTTCTCTCCGCAACTTGTAGCAACAAGGAGTTCTCTAAAAGGTTATGAAAGAATTTGTTGCCGCCCACAATCTCCATATCATCATTTCCTCCAAGAAATCCCTCTGCCATCCACAACTCAACCAAGCGTTCCCTTGGTAAGTCATATCCTTTAGGATATATCGAACAATATGCAAAACACTTTTTGAGTGCTGGTGACGACAAATGATCAAAACTCAGCTTCAAAATCTTGGAGACTGAGTACTTTGTCATGAAGGATTTATAGAGGAAGCAAAAGATTTGCTTATAAAAATGGAGAGAAGTGGTTGTGCACCGAATAGCGTGACATACAACAACATAATCCAGGGCTTGCTGAAGAAGAAAGAGGTTTACAAGGCAATGCCATTCTTAGAGGAAATGCACAAAAAGGGGTTCTTAGCCGACGCATCTACTTCGTCCATGTTAATTAATCACCTTCAAGGATCCAAGAAAGATGTTGTTCTTCTGGAAATGATGAAGAAAGTTGTGTCAAAAATATAAATTATTTATTTGAGCTTCTGTAATAAAACAAAGTTTTGCGATGACTTGGTACGATTTTTTGCGATGTGTTTCCGATTGAAGCGTGTATATAAATGTGTATATCATGTTGGCCTAGTGAATATCCTTTCAAATGAAATGCACATCCCATCTTTCCGCCCTTTAATTCTCCTACAACTTAAATGATTTGGGCTGAGAACCTAATATTTAGATTTGAGAAAATTACAGTTTTCATCCCTTAAGTTTGCACTGGTTTCACATTTGGACATCCATGTTTAAAAACACACATTCGGTCCTCATGTTTCAACAATTTGACATTTTTTTGTCATTTTCTTCAATTTAACGTTAGTCTGTCTGTTAAGAAAGTAATGCACACATGCTTGATTCTAAAAGTGTTAAATTATTGAAATATGAGGGACTAAACTTGTTTTTTGTGAACTTGGGGGACCAAATGTGAAATCAAGGTAAACTTGAGGGACGAAATGTGTAATGTTCCCTTTTAGATTTCTTTGGTTAATTAGAAAGACCCCTCAAATCACATTTGAACATAATACTAAGTTACCAACTCATTTGATATTTGTCTTTTACCAATATCCCTTTTGATATTTAAACTAAGGGCTATTACAATATAGGTCTCTGGTGACAATACTAATTTGAACTAAATGATCACAAGCCTAACTAAACTTTTGTTTCACATCTTTTATTACATTCATTCCAAAAAATGCCCCTCCATACATAAATTCGAATTTGTGTTAATTAAATTCAAACTGCATTTTATCATTTAATTATGCATTTAATATCTTCATTTTTTCATCTAATAATATATTTTATTTTATTTTTACCGACTTGGTCATCTTTATTTATTCGTTTTTACTCTAGCATTTTTTACGTTATTATAAGTAACTTTTTTTTAGAAAATTTTATTGAAAATTACGAAAAAAATATTTTTTTCGTTTTTATCAAATAATACAGCAGATCTTTAATATAATACTATAGTGTACTATGGTATACTATGGTATGCTATGCTATTGTATAGTGTATACTATAGTATTCTACGGTATATTATTGGTGTACTATTCTGAACTTTATCATTCAACAACTCCCAACCGCCGCCAAACCCTAACTTCCAACATCTTCCAGCCTCTGTTAAATCATAACAGCCAACAAATTTCAGCTGCCGCCACCAAACCAAATCTGCAAATACATAGTCGTCCACCAACCCTAGCCGCCGACCAAATTAAACCCTAGCCTTCGACCAAATTAAACCCTAGCTGCCATAGTCATCGACCAAATTAAACTATAGCCCTCGACCAAATTAAACCCTAAACCGCCATAGCCGTCAACCAAATTAAAACCTAGCCGCCATCATCCGTCATAGATCAGACCTCCACCACCATAGTCGTCGTCGTCAACTGCCTCCATAACCATCATCTTATTGTCGCCATAGCCATCCCTCCTCAACAATGGAGTGAAGTAATGGAGATAGAGAGAGAGAGAGAGAGAGAGAGAGAGAGAGAGAGAGAGAGAGAGAGAGAGAGAGAGAGAGAGAGAGAGAGAGAGAGAGAGAGAGAGAGAGAGAGAGAGAGAGAGAGAGAACGAGAGAAAGAGAGAGGGAGAGAGAGAGAGAGAGATAGCGTACTGTGAGAGAGAGCAGAGAGAACGAGCGAGACGAGAGAGAAGAGGGAAGAAATAAAACAAATAGATCTGAGAGAAATGTGACTGTAGAATTTATGGTTTAGGTTGAGAGCAAATTTGGGATAAAAAAATGTAAAAGATATAGATCATATTTATTTTTGTAAAAATGATTTAGTTCAGAACAATATATTAGGGTTGTATCTCACATCTAATTATGTTTCCAACTAGGTACCTCTAGTATATTAACCCTTAAATTAATCATAAATCGTTTGCTACCTAATATACCCAAGTTACCTTTTTTACTTCATTAGCCCTACTTCTTGAAACACGTTATCATTCACTCATCCACTCTCCCCCTTCTCTCTCTTGCGACACATTTTTTTCTTTTTTTGGAGTAAATTCAAGTTCAGTACAAGGGGAAGTAGGGAAGTGAGGGACTCGAACCTAGACCTTTACCCTATTGGTAAAGGCTTTACCCTACTGGTAAAGGCTAGATACCAACTCTCATAATGAGGGTTGGTGACACAATTCAACTATTTCCCCCTCTCTTCTCGGTCAATCCACTTCAAAGCCATAACGTTTTATCGATTCGATTGGAATTAAAATGTTGAGCAGACATTTCATATGACTCCATTGAGATAAGCGTAGATAAGGAGGTTAATTTTAAACAGCCACCGGACGGAGAGGAATAAGAGAAAAGAAGCCGACAAATACGTTTGTGCCCCTAGGGGAGTTGTGTGAATTGAAGGGTTTTGATAGTAATTCGCCAGAGTTACTGCTCAGTAGAACAGTTCGACGGACCAATCTTCCGAAAACGCTCGTCGCTGATCAATCCCCTTTTTGCTCTCTCCTATTTTTCACGGCGGAGGTGGTTTTGTTCAGTGGTGAATAGTCAACTGGATAAATACCACTGGCGGGGTCACTGTACAAAAATAATAACAGAGATACACTCATGGTACACAGATATCCAAATCGTCGAACCTTTTGTAAATAAAAGCTGGACATTGATGTATCTAATTCAAGACCTATGGTTTTGAGTTTTTTTCGATATGTAGTTTATTTTTACTTTCCTTGTTGTTCAAATACATTTGTTTTGTTGTAGCTGATTTCAATAATTTGTAGTTGGTTTTGATGATTTTGTAGTTGATTTCGGTGACTTTTGTAGTTGCTTTCGGTGATTTTATAGTTGATTATGATTTTGAACAGTTGTTTTTGTTATAATAAATAGTTGTTTTGAATTGTACGTACGTTAAAATTATAGTTGGTTACCTAATAAAATATAGTTGATTATCTAATAAAATTTTGTAGTTGATTACTGTAATTTGTAGCTGATTATAATTTTAGTAAATAAAGAAAAAAAATTAAAAAAAAAATTAGTTGATTATATATATATATATATATATATATATATATATATATATATATACACACAGAGACACGTATCAATGCCATAAGTTAATACCTATTAATATATTATATACCAATAAAAGTATCATACATACAAAATCAGGACAATACTATAAACTTGAATTACAAATGCTAATAGTAGTCTTGAAAAGCCTGCAACATAGTCATTCATATATGCTTTCGAGTGTAATGATCTCTCATGAGATCCTTGGGCTTGATCTTCATGATTTCACTTGAATCCCATCCTAAAAAGTCAAGCTTGTTATATCATAATAGAAAGACAACATAAATGTAATTAGCCAAATAGTGACTTAACCTAAGAAGACAACTTAGATACTAATGACTAGTTAGGTATAATATTTACCTTCAAATGTAGCATTTGCTGTAGCAAAATAGAAGAAAATTCACGAGATATTAGCTAGATAT